AAAGAAACCCAAACAAGTGCAGGTTCTTGTGCTTTAAATATTAATATGGGCTGTACCCTGGACCCAGTGTGACAAGACCATGAATGGACATCACTGTAAAAAGGATTTATATTCCTTGACAGATTTACTAACCTCTGATTTTTCACTCTGACCCKCTTCCAGAAGTTTCCACTCTACAAGAGGAGTGACTGAGGAGGCTGTATTAGATTATAGTACCAGAAACCAAAGCTGCCTGCCTGAAAAAAATACTGTTTAGTACAAAGATTCCCTTAGTCCCTGCTTTTGGAGCACAAGCTGGGGTCCCCCCRTTGATTTAACTTTCCCACTCACCTGGCACTACTCTGCATTGCTGCAGCACAACTCTGCACTGTGACRTGGGGAKCTTTGGCCCCAGGCCTTTACTGCTYCTGTAAACAAGAGATTATGGGATGCAAAAATGTATTTTCATCCCTCTGGTGGCTGCTGTGAAGCCAAGCCAATTTAAAACATCAAAAGCACTRTCATATGTTCATTCTTCTAATGATTGAAAAGTAATATTGTCTCAAGTAAAACATTTAAGCAGAAGAATATAGAGTAAATTAAATACTAGTGATCTGTATGCTTGAGCTAAAGCTACAGGTGGAATATTTCCATTACCTTGATCATGACAGGGTCCACAGTGCATTCTTCAAGTTCTGACTAATAGCACTTTTTCATACACCTTGCAAATTAAAATGCAGAAAATGCTCATGGTGCATTAATCATGCCCACTGGYCTGCAAATTTCATCTCTTGTTATTGGGAAAAGGAGAAGACAATGAATTACAGCTGTTGTGGTTTACGATGATAATGATGATTACTGGCATTATTATGTGCCTTCACAAAAATGTTTGAAGTCCAAGTTGAGGGGACTTGGCAAATGTGATTCTTCAGAGTGAGAAAAAAAAAAACATCATAGGTTCTGTGTGTGTGTTGGAAATGCTGAAACTCAGATTGACCAGAGATATTATGAGAGTTCATAATTTATATAGTACCAATGCAGCCACATTACATGTAGTCCTAGACCATTCTTCTTAAAGCATAACTTTTCAAAGATGTGCAAAAACACTTTCAAATAAATGAAATTCTGATCTTCAATTAACTGATGTTTTAAGTCAAGAGGTGTTTTGTTTCAATGGAGTTTTCTGTGTGCTGCCATTGGGGAAATCTAGTGACACAATTTATTCAAAATGGCTCTTTAGCCCATAGGTGTCCCAAAACAGGTCTTGTCACTCAGCAAACCATTCACTGACTCAGGCTTCTTCTCCTCCAACTAAATCTGTTCTTTCTAGGTAGGGATAAGAACCTCAAGAAATCCAGGAATTAGGCAGATAAGGCTTCCACGCTTCCAGTTTGTTCAACTCTGCTCTGTCCTGCACTTCTCACTTTACTAATGAGCAYACATGCACAAATGCTTTTGCAAAAGCAAAACACAGTATTGTGGACAAACAAAGTATTTCCTGGTTCAACATTACCTGAAAGTCAAATCTCAAATGACCAAAACTCTTTTGTGAATGTGATTACAGTAATGGATTAGGTTGATGTTTTTCTTCAATGGATGTATTACTGTAGAAAGTTGATTAACTCATAGTGACTASAGCTTTATTTGACATTATTAGCTCGGTCCTCTTTCTGTTTATAGTTCTAGTCAGATAAATTATTTTCTCAAAAAATTAAATTAWWTWAAATAAAATAACTCATTGCTAGTATAAAAAATAAATATCACTCAAAGGGAAAACTTGCCAATCAGGGCTTCATTTACGATAAATACTCATGTCAGCTGGACATGAATTCTCCATTAAAAACAGTAATTTGATTAAACAAACAGGATTCCAGGGCTGATAGAAACTGCAGGCATGAATTGGAGGCATCCTGCAAAGTTACAACTATAGAAAAGCTCACTTTYTGTGCCTCTTATCTGGACAGTGCAGCTTTCAAAGGCATTTGTGCCTTCTAGACTCAGAGACATAAAGTTGCATAAATAACTACAGCCTCCGTGCTCCAAGGTAAAATAAGGAGATTGTTGGACTTTTTAAAGAGTGAAACTGACTGACTGACTGACTGGCATTTAGGAGAAAATTGATTTTTTTTCCCTCTGTCAGGTTAAGGCCCAGCCAGCAACCAAGCCCCACACAGGCATTCATTCCCCCACCAGCAGGATCAGGGAGAGAACTGGAAGGGTAAAAGTGAGAAAACTTGTGGGTTGAGATAAAGACAGTTTAATAGGGAAGGCAAAAGCCATGCACACAAGCAAAATAAAACCAGGAATTAATTCAYTGCTTCCCATGGGCATGCAGGTGTTCAGCCATATCCATGAGAGCAGGGCCCCATCAGGTGTAATAAATAGTGACTTGGGAAGACAAACACCATCACTCCAAATATTCCCCCAATCCCCTTCTTCTTCCCAGTTTACATAATGACCATGATGTCATATGGTCTGGAATATTTGTTTGGGTCACCTATCCCAACTGTGTTTCCTCCCAGCCTCCCAGGAATCCCCAACTTTCTCGCCAGCCTGGCCATATTAAAATGGAAAAAATGGCCTTGGTTCTGTGTAAGCTCAGAAAAAACAAACAAACAAACAAACAAAAAAAACCAAAAAAAACCAACAAAAAAAAAACAACCCCTCTCTTTACTATCAACCCTGTGTTCAGCACAAATCCAAACCACTGCCCCATAGCAGCTACTGTAAAGAGAATTAACTCTGCACCACCAAAAACCAGCATATACTTAAAAATTATGAGAAAATATAAGAACAAGAYAAACTCTACAACTGTGCAAATTATTATGATTCAAGTTCTTCTTCAAACATGACTGTCACCAGTGCTATTCTGGCACCTGAATATTTCCCCTTCAGGGCAATTATTTTTCTCTCTTGCCTACCTAAAGAGATCTGTTTCATGCTACAGAGCAGTGGTGTACATCCTGGAAGCCTATTTTGAGATCTACAAGCCAGGAATTTCACAGCAGGTTAACTGGWGTGCCAAGAGGATCTGAGAGCACAGTAGTTTGTACAACGTGACAGTAATCTAAAGAACAAATCAAAGGAAGTGTTTAGTCCAAGTGGTCTGGTTTTTCCTTCATCATGAAACAGGGCTGAGTCCAAACAAATTGTTGTCCCAGTGAATTTCCATCCGTTAGAATCTTCCAGGCTCAAGAAACCATGTTCCACTCTCAAAATGCTTTCATGCAGCAGATAGACCAAATCTGTTCCTTACTCTGTGCCAYATTTCCCATTTGTCAAGTCTATATAAACATCTTCCTGTCCTGATCTGTGGTTTCTGCCTGTCCTCATCTGTGGTTTCTGCTCATGAAATACATGGTGAACGACATCTGTAATTAACAATGTGCAACTAGTGAGCTGCAGATAAACATACTGTCTGGGGAAAGCAAATGATAAAAAAATACAGATTATTTCAGCCAAATATGATTCTTAATTATATTTATAATTTGACCATTTCATGCACATACAAAATACATCAAACTCATAATGAAAAGAAGCAGACAATGCCCCCCAAATATACAAAGAAGCATTTTAAATAACATTGTGTTAAATGCACATTTGTGCATATCCTTCCAAAGTACATTTTCACTCTTTCTCTCTTCTTCCATAGATGTCAGAGCACTCTTTGAACAAGACCTTGTAGTTCTGAATTCTCACAGGCATTGCAACCATGACAGGAGCAAGGTATAAGCTACAAATTTAAAGTTTAAAAGGCAAATAAAGAGGTAATGCAATTCTCCACATGTAAACACTAAAGGGATGGGTAGCTAAAAATACACACTCTCATATTAAATCAGGAATCCTGATTTCCATATCACATGATGTCCACCTGAAATCTCTGAGAATGAGACACAAAGTTATATTTGCTCCATGAGGCTGAGATTCTATAATTCCTTTCTAATAGTTCATTAATGATACATTTAGCACTAGATACTTGCAAATGAACCAAAAAAGTAAAAAATAATTCCCATTGCTTTTTAAAATAAGTGGACTCCATAATTAATCAGAAAAGGATTTTAGTAGTGTTTTAAAAGTTTTCCACCAAGAATATCAGTGAGGTTTGTATTGCTGATTAAGTACAGATCAGGGATGCTTGTTCTGTGTGTATTCTCTGCCACAGCCTTCAGTGCTGGCACCTTTCATTTAGCTGTAGACATGCAGGAGATCCTAAATGCAACTAAATTCCATTAAACTGCCACAGAAACATGAATTTATCCAGTCTCYTCTATCAGATCACAGCTAGCTGCTGCCTGGATTCATGCAAGGATGGGCAGAATTTCCAGTCTCATCTCTAAGAGGGATATTGTAGCTAAGAGAAATGCAAACTCWCAGACTACTGATTCCCTTAACAGGCTGATGGAGATTTATCTSCTGCTGTACCCACACCAGGTGAAATCCTGTTTTCCTCACACTGGCTGCTGACAGTGTGCCATGTGTTCTGTCCAAACACTGGGACAGTGTCTGCTCCCAGAGGAGCACAGCAAAGCTCACTGGTCCTGCCAGCAGCTGTGAGTTCTTCTCACAARCAGCTTGTTTGGAAAACACTGGGTKAGCATCGACTGCTGCATTWGTTAACARTGCAAACCACAATATCTGTTACTTGAAGCTCAACATGAAACCCTKTGTAGCTTATGAATCCCTTGTGCATTTTCTTGATGGCATAAAAAACTGGATCATCTTGGTCATTTCCCCTATTGGCATCATATTCTTATTTTAGGAGATAATTCATATGTGGCTCATTTGTKTTTATGTTTAATTTGGGTTTATGTTTATTTTGGGTTTATATTTAACTTGTGTTCAAGTTATTTTTCATTTTTAAAATATTTTAAATTGAAAAAAAAATCAAAAATCCAATCCACATTGTAATCCTAAATTTCTCAGGTGGTGAAATGCTAGTTTTTCTTCATTTTCTGCATCTGGATTCTTGTATTTCAAGCAAKATATATATCTATAGATCTATATGTATATTATATCTAGATCTATATAGACATATATATACACATACATACATTTTTTTTTTTTAAAGTATGCCTTGAAAGACCTAGGTTGTAAGTGACTTAGTTTTTTTTTGGTGTCTTTTCCTGGTATCACTCATAAGAGCAGAAAAGCAGCCCTTTAGACWAGAGATCACACATCAGAAAAAGATCTGTGTGGAGCAGATCCTGAAACTATAGAAACCAGCTGCATGATACTGGTTTTGTTTCTAATCTTCATCCTAACTTTTTATGACTGCATTTTACCGCAAAAGCACATTAACAACATAAAGCAAAGCTTATTTTAAATGCTGCCTTTCCAGTATAAATTACTTCCAGCACTGCCTTCTAAATCTGTGAGTTTAGCACATGGAGACTAAAAGTGTCTGCTGAAAGCAAACCAGCTGTGGATCTCGCTAATACTTCTCTGCTAACACGTATTTCTTCAGAAAACAAATTTAAATATCGGGTTTCGCTTTCTTTTGCCACAAGAGGGCGATCCCTTAATTCGCGTTACCACTGAGGCAATGCACCGACACAAGATGGACTCATTTTCGATCTAAACCATTATTTCAACTTCTTATGTAGATAAATTGATGAATTTCATTCTGTCTGTGTTCTCAGCATGCATGTGATTTACATCAAGTTACCAGGCAARACAATTTAGCTGTGGGAGACACTGCGCTTCATAAATGACTGATACCCCAAAAAATGGTGGGAAGTAAATAGAATTTCTGTTCATTATCTTTAGAAATAGCAGTACACTGTATTAACACAACTCTTTGTTCTCAGTGATAAACTCAGACAGGTCGCAATCAAAAGGAATAAGATCTTAAGACGTGCTGCTTTCAGAAGCATGAGAAATTTGTGAAACAAAGAAAAGATATGTGTCACACTTGTCATCCACCTGTGAATGCTCTAGCTATTTGAATTTGTTAAATATGCCATCATGTGCAACAATATACAGCGCAAGCACGATCCACACAGGAAACTGATTCAAGCACTCAGAGTCTGAAGATTGTCACGTCCTCCCTAATGCAAAACTCTGATTGCATTGACTTACTTAGAACCAGATAGCTGGGAAGATTTCATTTAAATGCTTCTAAACAGTCATCATGAGTGTACAATATAACTTACCATAGCATTTTTGTTTTCAGTCCCAATATTTTACATATATAAACCTGTGAGATTTATTCAAACCATGACTGATTTCTCCCTCTTAAGTCCAAATAAAATTTTAATCAGAAACGGTGGATGGATTTTGTCCATCAAGAGTCAGCTATGTTCCTGGGCAACCGGTAATGCTCTGGCCTGATCCTTGTCTTCTTCTCCTGAGGGTTGGCATATTTCCACTTGGATGGGGACATTTTCAGCTTTTTTCTCTTCTTATCTGTACACCACACTTTTTCACAGTATTCTTCCACCCTTTGGAAGTTGCTGTAACCTATCAGTTGAAGAAATTCTTTATACCATGGCTTTGAAGCCTGAGGTATACTGCTCTGCATTGGGCATGGCATTTTGTGAGGTATCTCCTCCTCATAGTCTTTATTGAACATTTCATCCACTCGTTCTTCCTCAACTACTTCCAGGGTGATTTTCCTGACAGTGTGAACAATGCTGTGTTCCACTGTCTGACAGAAATAAGTTCCTGCATCCAGTCGATGCAGCTTCAGGAATAAAAGGCCAAGGTCCATTTTTATTACTCTATCATCTGTCTTCACCTGAAAAAAAAAATAGCAGTTATGGAGCACAGGCCTTTGCTATTACATTAAAGCAGTGCAATTATTTCTGAACTGTACTTCCATGACTGTAATATTAAATTTAGAGAGGAAGATTAGAGATCCTCAAACCTTTAATTCACAGGGTTTTTTAATAACAAAAATGTTTACTTGAAGTTGACAAGAGATTGAGCTGTAATGGAGAATAATCTAAAGAATCTGGGAAGSGTGGAAGAACATATAGTGGAGCAGGCAGATTCCTGTTTTAATTGCAGCAGAAATAAGTTAGAAACGTGCAAATAACCTACTGGATGGAAAACAAAAAGGGGACTGAGGAATAATAATAATTCCACTGAGGGATGAGAAATTGGATGAGAGCTGGCCACATCCACTTGCAGAAAGCAAATTGTTTCTTGTGCTGGAGAACAAGAAGTGAGGCCAACAGGTCAAGTGAGGGCATTCTCCACATCTACCCGGCACTGATATCCCACCTGCTGCACCCAGCTCTGCAATCCTCAGTGCAAGGCAGACCTGGACCTGCTAGAGAGGGACTGGAGGAGGGTCACAAAAACGAAGAGAGGAATGGGGCACTTCTCCTGTGAAGAGAGAGCTGGGGTTGATGAGTCTGGAGGAGAGGAGGCTCCAGGAAGACCATATTGTGACCTTTCAGTACTTAAAGCAGGTTATAAGAAAGATGGGAACTTTTTACCAGGCCCTATAGTGACAAATCTGCACTGTAGTGATATCTGCGCTGATGTGCATCAGAGAGATATTGAGGAATAAATATAATGACAGTTTCATAATGACAAAATATATATAAAAGGGGCAGAGAATCCACCAATACCCATTTGCAAAAGATTCTGCAATGCAATGGGTGAGGCAGCAAGAATGAATAGATGTTAAGTTGTTAAGACACTGGGAATAAATAGTATGTACATATTTCACCCCTGCAGGAACATACCAAGAGACCATATCAATCCATACAATGGATTTTCCTTTGTTTTGAGATCTTAGATAATCTTCACTACATTTCTAACATCTGCATTCAAGATGCTGAATGCAAACACCAGGTGAAATACTCAGGTCTATCAATTCAAGAGACCAGATGTGCACAGTGATTTTCCCTGACATCCATGGACATTTCAGCAACTGGTACAGAAATTCAGTGAAGAGGTAATATTCCTAACAAAACACTCTTTTGCTGAAAAAGGTTAGTCTATGATAATGTTTACCTCTTCCTTCTTAGTTTCATGTGCTCTCTGGACAAACCAAATTACTTTTGCTTGTAAGGTCCGAGGGGTGCACTCCAGCAGGGTGCTGTTGTACTCTATTCCATAAACAAGTCGCTCCTCAGTCCTCTCCAGGACTTCACCTGGAAGGGAAATAAATGTTTCATAGATGTGTTACTGCAAATACTTGTTACACTCCATGCTCAGGGTATAATTACTTTTAAGAGCTAAATTTAATTTAGGTCCAACCAGTGACTGAAAAGTATTGTCTTATGAAGACCTGCCCTGCTCAATGAATTTTCCCATCATCTCAGATTTTCACAGCATCTGACCAAATTGTGCAGTGACTCACCTGAGATTATACACAGAGAAACAGATCTCAGCCTTTCACACTGCTAATTGCTTGTGCCTGGTTCTTATGAATAGTTAATTTCATTTGCACTCAGTGGAACAGGAGGATTCAAAACATGTTTAAATATAATAAATAATTCAGTTTTTTAGGGATATTACTGACAGTCCAGAACTTTTTGCAGAATGGAACTTATTGTTCCATTGGTATTTATTTTGCAGAATAAATACTCAAACCAACATTATACATATCTATGCTATACATGTGTAAACTGAATGTACAGTTTGGGGCTAGGAGTGCTAATAAAAACAAGGTGAATGAATTTAATCAAAATTTAATTCTGGTTTTCAATCCAATAAAATATCTGGAGGAGGATAAACTAGTTGTTGCACTTGATGAATTCAATTGCCTCATTAATTAAATAATTTTCTTCCATAATAGAGGGAAAGATTCTTGAGACTGAAAAGCTTTATACCCTAAAAAAATCAACTATTTTATATAATTGTGATTTCTCTGCTGTATTTGAAATTTGTGGAACAATTAGCATTTATTATTAAAATATTCTTTTCCAAATTGTACTATATCCTCCAATGGACTTCAATTATAATAAAGCTTTCTCTGGTAATATATATATATCTAATATTTAATATTTAAAATAGTGTTTCTCTCGCTGTCTTTCTAGAAGAACCTTTTATGTTGGGTTTTTTTTTTCTTCTATAATTGTATTGTCTGCTATTCTGCAAAATACTGAGGATTTGCCTGCAAATATTTTCTCTTGGTTTTACTATTCTCAATACCCATGTTTGAAATCCTCACTATGAAAGGTTTGGAAAGTTGTTTGGACAACAATATTAGGCACAGTTCTCTGTCCTTTTTATTTAATAAAAAATCTTTATAATGACCATAAATATACATTTTTGTTTTGGCATGTCCTTGCCCATGTCTATGTTTCGATTCTAAATCCTGACATAATTTCATACACATTTCAGCCCAGTTGTTGCTTCTCCCTGCCCCTTCTTTCTGCTTTTATTGGCTTGTTGGGAGCCATTGAGATACATTATCCACATCTTGTCTGAATGTCAGTGCTGCAGGACCACATGGACATTACAGGATGCACCTGACACACACCACTGAGACAATCACCCTTAGACCTGCATGGGGTGGGCTCAAACCCACAGCTCTCATAACATTATAGGAACATGCCAGTGAAAAAAGGCAGGTGAGATCATGGTCTGGCTGATGCTCTTGGCAAACCCCGTGCTGGCTGTTTGTCCYAGGTTAGCTGAGTATTGTATTCCTATCATCTGCTTATGTTAGAGGAAAGTTAAACAACCCTTCTGTAACTATACATTAGTTGAGACTGCTCTGGTTTGTTTGGTGATGTTCCTTCCTTCAAGGACAATGGGAGGGAAAGGTACAAGACACACACGTTTTGTTTGGGTTTTTTTCGGAGGCTCTGGGCGATCAGCGGCAGAAAAGAAGCTGCCTGCTCTCTGGGACTGCTCCTTTTTCCTCCCTTTCTTTGAACTTGTTTTTTTTTTTCCTTGAATTTTTTTTTCCTTCTTCGTCATCTGAGGATTGGAGGATTCCCGTGGCACGACAGGCGAGAAAGATCCTTCAGTGAACCACCAGAGAGAGACTCTGAGCACCCCTCTGGGGGCCCCAGAGGGGAAGCTACTCCCAGGAGGGAAGAGAAAGGCTTTAAGATCTAACAGCTGATTCCACAGGTTTTTTTGCTTTTATAATTTTAAATGAATACCTTTTTTTCTCTTTTCTTTTCACTTTCCTCTCTGTGGAAAAATTTGTCTCTAGGACCTGGGTGGGGAAAAGAAAGCAGGGGAGGTTTGCTGGAACTTGGGAGTGTTTGCTCCCATTGGGTTCATTCAAACCACGACACTGTTGCAGAGAGTTCCAGGCAATTTTCAGGGGTGTGAATACATTACCAATGAACTGCTGGCCAAAGCACTGCTGCGCCGCGTTCCCGTGACGGACGTCTTGTCTGCGGAAACGTCTGCAGGGGAAAAAGTGGAATTATTTGAGAGAACATGTTTAGTTTACATGTTGTTTGATGTATGTTAAACTGGCATTCATTAAAAACTTAAGAACTTAAACCTTAATTAACAATTTATCGCTGTTGTAAGAAGTATCCATTTATAAATCAGTATTTTGTCTCCATTCAACCTACTGGGAATCATGTGTCTGAAAAAAGGAAACAGCCTTGTCTGGAGAAAAGGCACAATTATGTGTCCATTTTATATATAAATCCACTGATCTTATAAATATAAAAGAAGATCCTTTCATCCAACTAGGTAACATTCAGTCAAAGGAACTTTTAGACTGTCTTTGGGTTCTCTCTCTCTCCAGAAAAGAAGGAAATTTTCATTTTTTAATTTGGAACCATTTGCCATGTATGTGAGTGGTACTTCTTTTATCCTTCACTCTCATGTTTTGTTTTGTTTTGTTTTTTTCACTTGGGAATCTCAAAGCACAGAGGAAATACTTTATTTTATTTCACCTTTGTATCACCTTTGTATCAAAGAGTTACTGAGCTCATTTTTCTCAACAGAGAAACAGACACATTCATGACATGCCCATGCCTAGAAAGTGAACTGGTGGCAGAACTGTGATCACAACCTGGGAGCCCTGGTTTCAACCTGGAAATAATCTAAGTGCTTTTGAAAGAAAAAATTATTTTGACATTTGGGGTTTGGGTTTTCTATATGCATTTACAGAAAAAAAAGTGAAAACCATTATTATATGGTGCAT